CCCCCCCCACTCCTGAACTTGCATTTCCTGGTGGATCAATTGCAGTAGGCAACTCTCATGCAGACCAGCCTTCTGCCTTGGAGCAGTCACCATTCAGCCCAAACCCAGAGATCCAAACTATTCTCCGACCTCTGTGTCTTCTTTATAGAGCAGCCAAATCCTGCTTTTGCTCCCTGCATGAGCTCTCCTCTTGCCAATGGCATTGTTCACAAATCTGTGACAGACCTCCTCCGCTGAACAGTTGGTACCTTAGCCAAATAACATCCATCAGGAATCCAATGGTGTGCGGAGCATCTCTCAGTGCAGACAGCTGCTGGAAGCTGACTCCACCCTGGCAAGAATGGGGGTTTCCTTGGCAAAGTTAGAAGTGGCCCCCAAAGGGGCAGGCACTAACTCCCCACAAGCAGCTGACAGCGCAGGGAGGTGCCCACACTGTTCAAGTTCTGTGGTACCAACCACATCTCAAGGGCAACAGCAGTAGTCTACATTTTGCATCGTAGTCTTTGTATTTTCTCTGCTGCCCTTTGCCTTAAGCCCTTTGCACCTGCTCCTAGACCCCATTCATTCATTGTATAAAGCTGTATTTATTTTCTGTTTGTATTCTGCTACTACTCTTTGAGTCAAAAAGGTGAACCAGGGCCACACCTAGTTTCACAGATGCTTTCCCTGAACCCCCTCTCTTCCCAACCGGTTGATCTCTAGTCCCGCAGGCCAGGCCTCCTACTTTCATGTCCTGCTTCCTAAATCCCAAGTTCTCATAACTTGCTACTGCCGCAGACACTTTGCCTTTTTTCCTGTTGTTTTTGTGGGGTTGTAGGAGGATGAAGTGCCTAACTGCACTTCACCCAGCATCTTCATGAGTTGGCTTTATCCAGAGCAGAGAGGAAGTACAAACAACTTCCTCCACCTTTTCAGCCTTGGTCAGGTATCCCTCTCTGGCCTTACTGAGGTGCCTCCTGCTACCACCACCACTGCCTATAGGGTTGGGAGAGAAGGGACAGCTGTCTTCTGGAACATCGGCAGAATCCCACTGGAACTCTAACTTGCCTGGTCTACTAGCTGTTCTCCATTATCCTCCCTTGGGCTGCTTCTAGCCTAATGGAAAAGAACTCAGCCATAAGGCCAGTGCCCAACTCACTGAGGTACTCCCACGCTGGTGCTAAGTTGGGCCTAGTTCTTGCTGAAGTAGTAAATCTTCAAGTCTTGGGTCAGTCAGTTCTCTCTGAACTCTCTCAGCCCCACCTACCTCACAGGGTGTCTGTTGTGGGGAGAGGAAGGGAAGGCGATTGGCAATTGTAAGCCATTCTGAAACTCCTGGTAGTGAAGAGCAGGATATAAAAACCAACTTTTCTTCTAAATAACTCTTCCCCCCCCTGCAGACTTAAGACTGATGGGTTCTGTTTCTGCATACAAAACAGCAAGGAATACTTTTAGCCTCCCTTCTTGCAGACATTCTGCATATGAGGATTTTTGTTCCTTTGTAGGATTGTATCATGTTACATCCTGCACAAACCTTCAGTCTGTATAGCCCAGGTTTACCATCTCAGTAAGAACAAGGCCTTGGCCATTAATATATATATATATATATATAATCTGTGCCTCTGCTTAGCACTGCGGCTCAGGGTGCCACATCTGTGCCAGCTGTTACAACCAATGGCACTGTTTTGCTCAACCGTTCTCCCCTTTCCTAAGCTCCTTCAGGTAGTTGCTTGGAGAAAAAATACCACACAAAGGATCAACACCCTTTGCAAGAAGAAATGTGTCAGCAATTGCCTTTTTATAGGAGATGGCATGTGGGCAACCTGTTATTCCAATGCTTTTAAAAGCCTAGGTCTGTTTTATTGGATCACAAGTGTTTCAGCCAAACCCTTTTTTTTGTTTTAAGCATGGTCACTTGGGTCCCCTCTGGGTTTCAGTTTGTACTTAGCACATCTCTGCTGGACACCAATGGAGAGTTTTCGGCCCACACCATACTCAGCAGTTTCTAGTGGCTGTGATTTAGGCTGAGACTGTGCTGGCAGCAGTTTCCACATGTTAGGCCGCGGAATGTGTGACTCTCACCCCCACCAGCAAGGATTCACTTTTAGTCCTCCTTTTCCTTTAAAAAAAAATCCACAACAGTTACCATAGGGTCCCTGGTTGAGAACACCCTCATGACAAAATTTCTGGGATTAAAGTGGTGGCACCTGCAATTTAAGAAGAAAGGACCCATTTTTTTCCTTGCTGAAAATTTCTACCTCTGTGCTTAAACCTCGTTGCATTATGTGCAGACTGTGTGCAAACGGGACATCAATGCCTGATTTTTATTCCCAGAAGAGCCTTAAAAAGCCCTTCTTGACAGACATATAACTCACTGGTGACAACAGGGTCTATCAACAATCTCCACTCGCTGGGGCTCTGGTTTTCTCCAAGGTAGACTTGCATGATTTGAGAAATTGGTGCTCTGTTTTGAGGACAGCCTTCACTTGCTTTGATTTGTGAGGTCAACGGCCTTCCCCTTGGAACGAACAAGGCCAAACGAAGGACTACTCGCCCATTCTCATGTTCTTAGATATTTATTTATTGGTGGTGTGTGATATGAGGTGCGTGTTGATATGGAATGAAAACTGGCAGAGAGAGGAAAAGGTCTAGCTTGGGTATCTTGGGTACAACTTGGGTATCTTGTGCCAGTTGCTGTTTCCATATGGTAATCTTCTTGTGGGTGCATGAAGCTACACAAATGGGGTGACTGTGGGGGGGGGGAAGCATGCTTTTCAAGGCCAACTTCAGCTCCCCCACCCCACCCCAGCTTAAAGCTCTACCAGTAAAGGCCAATTAGCTATACATAGAGCTGAACTGATAAGTCATGACTGCAATATCAACCTTTACCCAGTTTTGTTTTTAAATTTTGATTTAAAAAAAGACAGGTCTGAAGATCCAGCGATTGGGTCTGGCATGCTCCCATGGCGTTACTCTTTTTCCAAGATACCCAAGCAGGAAAAGGGAACAGAATGCAAGCCAATTCGTATAGCTGAAGCCTGTTCTGGAATGGGGTGCTCCAGGGGAACTCTCTGCCTTGTACAAAACATATTCCTCCTTTCATTTAAACTGCTTTACTGGGAACGGGTGGTCTAAAACGCAGAGCGAGAAGCCAGTCCTCAGGCACAGCTATCTGCTCCTATGTTTATATTCTGCCTTTCCTCTCTGTACCTGCCCCTGGGAAGTGCGATTTTTTAAATTGAGCATGAAACTCAATTCCTGGGAAAGCGGAGGCTGGATGGAGTCTCTCCAAGCTACCTGCTTGTGGACCGCAAGCCAGCCCATAACTGTGGCTGGAGTGAAGACCAGGGTTTAACTTTTCTCTGCAGCACTGTCTGCTTTCACAGCAGAGCTTTTTGAAGGATGATTATGTGATATTTGGGGCCAGGGCCTTCCTATCTGTAACTTCTTTCTATTTGTCTGGACAATCTTGGTGCTGTGAGTGACTGTGATTGTAAAACTAAGTACTGTGGACTCCCCCCTCTCCTTTCTGTGCTCTGAGATGCTTTTTTGGGGGGATGTTAAGTTTCTTACCAGAGAGAAAGAATATTTTATTGTTTCCACCCAAAGAGGGAATCCTCATCAAAACAGACTGCTCCTCAGAAACAAAAAAGTCCATAAGCCATTACAAGAGTTATTTATATTTTAGAAAGGCAACATTTAGTGTATGGTGGAATCTCTAAAAGACAGAAGGTTGCTGCTAGAACTGGGTAGAAAGGAGAGTTTGTCAACCATGAAAACAGGCCAACAGCCGAACAGGTTAGAAACAGATTGAGATGGGTAGCCTTGTTTGTGTAGCAGTAAAAAAGACAGAGTCCAGTAGCACCTTAAAGACTAACACAATTTGTTGCAGGGCATGAGTTTTGGTGAGTCACTATCTGAAGAAGTGAGCAGTGACTCACAAAAGCACCTACCCTGCGACAAATTGTGTTAGTCTTTAAGGTGCTTCTGGACTCTTGCTCTTTTCTACAGGTTAGAAACAGGATTTGCAGAATGTCCTTAGAAATGAGAAAGATATAAACACAGCCCACCCATGCAATCAAAGTAAGTTAGATTTGCCTGTACACTGGCATAGGTACATAACTATATTTTCAGACCTATTTAAGAGCCAGTCACATTCAAACGAATCCCTAGCTGGATAAGAGGGAAGCCAGCACAAATTGAGTGTTATGCAAGGGATTCTTCCCCCTGCTCCAGTGCTGGCGCTACGTACAGAAAATCTTCTTAGAACAGCAGTAAGCACACTCATTAGGTGGGGTGGGCAGGAGTGGGGATGAAAATAATCTCCCCTGCTTATTGCAGACAGCTGGGTGAAGGACAGCTCTAAGGCGGATCTACAAATACAAAGCAGGAACCGGCCACTGGATTCAAAGACCGCTGGTATTATTAACCTGCAGCATCAATAATGTAAGATTTCATGAACAATGATTTATCAGCATTGTAGAAAGTATTAAATACATTTTTCATAAAAAATTTTATACATTTGGTTTTGAACATAATGCCAGTTGTAAGAGTAACCTTTGAGCTTTGTAAATCACAGCACCATTATTGCAATCAGATTTTTTTAAAGAGGAGGGACGTATTCACACAATTCGTATGCTTGCTCTATGAACTTTTTGATTAGAAGAACCATCTTCAGTAACCCTTGGGTCAACTGTCCCCTCAGACCCCACAGATTTCCCCCTTGTTATGCAGCCACACCAGCATTAATGGAGCAATTACCGACCTGAGGTATGCACGTTCTTCCCCATTGTTTTGCTATTCACAAGAGCTTTCCCTTCTTAGGTCAAGTCATTAATTTATAGAGGAAGCAGCTATAAAGAGAACAGGTCTCAGGAGCAAGAGCAGCTAGGAAAGAATAGGGTAAGGAAACTTTGCATCCCCCTGAGTCAACAGAGCTTATATTTTTTAAAAAAACAAGATTTTGGTCATAAAATAAAAATGAGTAACAGCTTTTTTCCCTTGACATATGATTTTATTACCTGTTGGGAAAGGAAATCAGATGAACAATATGATTTCTACAACTTAAAATGCTGCAAGAAAACCTCAAAGGAGCCTTTCTCCCACATACCTTTTTTTCCTGCTGTTTTTTTTGCTGAAAAAAGTCAACATAACCAACCTACTTTCATGCCTGCTGGCAACCTTTACAAGCACTCGTGGGAGGGGGAGCAGTCCGAGGGCACGGAACTAGTCCGTCTCCCGCCTGTCAGCCTTCTCCTAAGCCACAGCTCTCATGTCTCCAATCTGGGTTGGGGGAAAGAATCTAGAAAAATAATCCTGCAGCAAAGCGTCATTGCAGCCTTAGGACCAGTTCCTACATGGGGAGGTGGCTCGGTGAGAGAGCATCTGCTTAGCTTGCAGAAGACCCCAGGTCCAATCCCTGGCATCTCCAGTTAAAAGGACCAGGCAGTACGTGAAGTGAAAGAAATGTGCCTGAGACCCTGGAGAGCTGCTGCCAGACCAGACAATACTGATGAGAAGTGGCCTCATTCAGTATAAGGCAGCTTCATGCGTACATTCAGCAGAACTAGAAGGAAAAGTTTTTTGTGTTCTGTACACCACTTAAGGGTGCAAGTCTCTGAAAAGTACGCAGACGGATGAGTGATTTCAGCTTAGCGTACTTTATTAGATCAAGAACAAGACAACTGTATCCGGCTCGCAGGCCGGCTTATATGTCCCGTTGAACCGCCACCCATAACACCCCCCCACTTCCCAGCAGGTTATTTACAGTGGCCGAGAGTTCCATAGGCTCTCAGCCGGGAACCTAGCCCACTGATTGGTGCAGGCTAGGATCCGCACAGTCCATTGTCTCTGAGCGAAGCTCGATGTTTGCGCTTGACCGCGTGGAGCCCAAGCTGGCCACGTGGTCTGAACTGGGTATATTACAGTCTCCATGCTCCCAACTGAAGGAAAAATAATAATTGCCCTCATGTCAGGAGGAAAAGACAGACAAGCCCTCTCATCCCTCACCTACATACCGGAAAATTTTATTAAAGACTTTTCACAAAATTTTATTATGGGTAAATATTCGACCAACCAATCTCTCCCCCCCTTTAGTCTGAAGCTGCACATTTTGTGAAAAGTCTTGCCCTTTTCTAATGCTGAACATATAATGCTGACCACAATTTTAAATGAAGAGTAAACCATTGTTCGGAATCCTGGTTTCCAAGAAGCACACAAACTATTCCTTTGCCAGACTGGATGTGATGGCAAATTTATGACTAGCAGGAACAGGGGCAATAACTTGGGAGCTGGCCAGGTGCCAGGGAAGGGAGAAATGCACAAGTTTAAGGATTCTCCAGGCTGGGTATTGACAGTTTGGTGTAGTGGTTAAGTGTGCGAACTCTAATCTGGGAGAACCGGGTTTGATTCCCCACTCCTCCGCTTGCACCTACTGGATGACCTTGGGCAAGCCATAGTTCTGGCACAGCTGTTCTTGAAAAAGAATAGTTTCTGTCAGAGCTCTCTCAGCCCCACCTACCTCACAGGGTGTCTGTTGTGGGAAGGGGAAGGGAAAGGAGTTTGTAAGCCACTCAGACTCCTTTGGGTAGTGAAGGGCGGGGTATAAATCCAATCTCTTCTTGTTCTTCTTGCATTGGAATCCAATTCTTGGCAAGAGTGTGCCTGAATTACTCCACGGGGGAAAAAAATGAAAGGGTGCAAAAATCTACTTCAAATGTTACTACACAAATGAAAAAGTCAAGCTTGCACTCCAGCCTTTGCCCACTAAAAACAAAATGGGGTCAAAGGTAAACAAACAAGTTTCTGCCATCAGAAAATAAGCCAGATAAGCAAATTTTATAAATTTATTAATTTTTACAAAACTCAACTTTGAATGTTTCTGCTGAGGAAAGGAATAGGAGGGGAGAAAATTCACTTGGAATACAGTTATATGACCAGGAAGGTCTACAGGCAGTTGAACATACAGAAGGAGGACAGAGAAATATGCAGGCCGTTATTCTTAATACCTCAGACCACTAGAAGCTTTAGACCTTGACCCTGCCCCTCCCCGGGCAAGTTTGTGGGAAATAGCCAAAGGATGGCATTTCCTTTAGGATGCTAAACTTTGCATCTGCAACCGGATACCACAATTACATTTTAAAGCTGTGGAACACACACAGGGCTCATCTACTTCTTATATGGGATATGAGTGATAAGATTTTCTAACATTTTAAAGTCATGAAAAACAGCTATGGGGAACTAGCTTGCAAGGTGTTCCATAGCATGGGGGAAGAGATTATCAGCTATTCCCTTCTGATCTGTTTTCCTGACTAGAAACTGACCCTCTGAACTATTAGCTCTGTGTGGTGTATGTGGTGTAGACACCTATACTTGGCCTGTCCCCCCAGCTTGCTGGGATTAATAGTTCAGGAAGGGGGATTTCTACCAGCAAAATGGCACAGGGATAAATTTAATCCAGATGCCCTAACCCAAATTAGTCACCTCCTGGCAGTGCTTTTTCACATTACGCTGTGAGAGCTGATCACAGATGTCTGTGCAATATCTAATGGAATCTGAAGTGGCAACCACTAGTCATGAAAAATTATCACCGATGAAGCAACACTGGTATCAAGACAGGCATCTTCTTTTAGTGCCTCCCTCTGCCAAACAAAATTGGTCTACCTCACATGATTCCTGTTGTGTTCTCAAGCAAATGCTTTGAACGCTTAGAAGGAAAACATGCTATGATTATATAGCTTTAAGAAAACGGGGTTGCATTTACCAGTATCCACTGCTCATCGAGTGGCCGCCTGTGCAGTCCCACGTGGGGACTGCAAGATTGCAGAGGCCTGCTGTGGAGAAGAGCTTCCAAGCTTTTAAAGAAGTTTCTAGGCTCTAGGAGTGCTCCCCCTCGCCTCTGTTTGCAGAGGTCCCTTTCCTGCCCAAAGGGTCATGTGGCAGGGCAAGCACTCCTCCCTCAATTCAATTCACTTGGAAGGGTCAGTTACAAGTTCTTCCAGAGCTGTTCTCTCAAGGGCAGTTCTTGAAAGAGCTCTCTCAGCCCCACCTACCTCACAGGCCGTCTGTTGTGGGGAGGGGAAGGGAAAGGAGATTCTAAACTGCTCTGAGACTCCTTTGGGTAGTGAAAGGCAGGGTATAAATTCAATCCCCTCTTCTCTCTCTTCTCCAAGGCAAGCCTGCAACAGTCTGTTTACAAAGAGTGCCTGTGGAATACCAGCTTTAGGGGGAAACTACCATTCCCTCCAAAGTATGTATACTGGGTAAAATGCTGTATTCAAGGATAACGCTTTGGCAACCATTCACCTCCCAGTGAGTCAATACAACTGTACATTACTTTCCTTGCAAGGAAAAAGAAACACATAGAAGTAGAAAAACAGAACAAGTGTAGCCTAATTGGCATATGGCATACCAGAACTGTTCTCTTTACTTACAAATATTTAACAAAAAGAGCTAGAGAAATGCTTACAAAATACATTGCTGTATAATCAAAAAGCTATTAACAGCTGCCAATGGGAAAGGCAGACAAACCCTCCAGGTTTGCTGGATGAACTGATGGGACAGGCACCGGGGTGTGCTATCATTCCATTCAAACACAGTGCAATTTCCAAGCCAATAAATGTTTTGGGATTACCTCCCTCTTCTCCCCAACCACACTGTGGGAGCTGCTGCTCAGTAAGCTTGGGTTGAATTAGTTAACAAAGCGTGTGAAGGCTGAATAACCTTTCAGCTTCTTAAAAGCAGTACTGCAGGATTAATCGACTTTGGAAGTCCATCTCAAAGGTATGTGAAGAACCCAATTTGGTCACCTGTAGTCCACAGTATGACTTCGCCAACAAAGAGTGCAATCCATTGCTTGGCAACCGCTTGCTATATCAGAGGGCAAGACCCAGTTCTGGTACATGCTGTCTGTCATCTCCCTCTCATTTCTCCTAGGCAGCATCTGCATACATTAAGCTGTTTCAGATCTGTCCTCAGTTCCCAGTCTACATCCAGCTTTCAAACAGCATTTTGGATTCAGCAATGTTTGAAAGACTAGATAAGGGGCTAGAAAGTTAATCCCTCCTCTTCTCCTTGTACTGCTTAACTGTTTATATATTGGATTTGTAGCCACTAAAAGATGGTGCATTAAAAAAAAAAGACTCTGGTGGTATACCAGGAGAGGCAGTCCTGAAGTTATGCTGGTCCCAGACTGTTCAGGGCTTTAAAGGTTAGCATCAAAACCTTGAACCTGATCCATCCCTCCCATCTGCCCATGCCTTGGCTAAGTCAGTGTCCCTGCACAATGGGCATCCCCATTACCAAAACCTAGGTGCTTGTAGAAGAATGCTTAAGCAATTTGAAGTGTCCTTCAACTACAACTTGATTATGAACCCTGCCAATTCATTTGCTGGAAAATCCATAACTTGGGCTGGAGACAGAAAAGGAAATTAAGTACTGCAGTACTTATAATGAAACTGAACAATTACTCAAGTGCAGGACTTCAGATCGATACAGGAGTATTTTACCTTATTGATCTTAAGCTGAAACAGCCCGGAGTACGGTGCTTCCTGAGGAACAAGACCCAACATCTGCCTTGATGTTTTTTCTTACAATAATCAATCTGTTACTAAATGGATTATGCCAGCAGTATCCACAGTTCTTGCATCCTAACCTCAGAAGGAACGTTAGAAGATCTCAGTGCAGTAACAGACCTGTGGCCCATCTAGTTCAGCATCCTGTTTTAGACAGTGACCAGTCAGTTCCATGGAGGATCAATGAACAGGGCCAACCTTCTGGGCTATTCCTCTGCCCCACTGAATGTTCTTGTGCTCCCAAGTGGCAGTGTGCTGTGCCAATTTATCTGCATAATGTATCTGTTAATATTTAAGATTGTCCTCCATTCAGAGATAGATTGAGGGAGCACAGGATATTCTAGAAGATACTGTTAGCAAGATGTGTGGATCAGGTCAGCTGCACTGCCAGATGGCTGGCATTCATCAGAGGTGTCCATTAGACGTCACAAAAAATGTGTCCTATAAAGACACCCACCCACAGCTGTCTGAGGGAGCTGGGAATGTTTGCATTTATAACCTATAGTCACAAACACAAATCCTGGTCAGCAGCCTCTAGACATTTCCCCCCCCCTTGCAAGTCCCAAATGGAGTTCTGCTGAATGTCCTGGAAAAACAGCTTCTGCTGAAGACTCTTTAGACTGTCCAAGACGTCTGGAGAGAGATGCTCAGCATCTCTGTGGCTTTCTTGATCTTTTTCCTCCTCCACTTCTTCTTCAACAGGGCCATCTGAAGGCAAAGGAGAACATCTAGAAATGTAACCCTGGTCCGATTGCATGGACTGCCTCTGATCTTTGCACATATCCTCAAAAATTAGGGGCGGCTGTTGTTCATTAATAATTTCCTGGCAGATAGGTGGTTCTGAAAACACAATGCTTTGGTGGTAGAGAGAAAACATTAGTCCTTCCAACTGTTGCCTCACATCATCTGGTAGTGCCTGGGCATCTGAGGACAGTTCTTCTTGAAGAACAACGCTGTTCCTCCTTGGCATGCTCGTCTCCAGTACTGGGTCTCCTCCTTCCAGCCAATCTTCATTGGTCAACAGCTGATGGCTGATTATCTCTCTTTCTTTTGCAAGATCAACTGGCTCTACTACCTGGACTGGAGAAGTCTCGTCATCTGCAGGAATGATCAAGGTTTGGAATGCTGGATGCTCTTGTGGAAGAAGCTGGGGTAGCAGCTGACAGGTTCCAACCTCATCCTCATTGATGCAGAGGCTGACCAGGCAACAGCTGTCGGGGTCAGGCTCCCGTGGAAGTAGCTGCTGTTTCAAAATCCCCCCCTCGTCCAGTGTTAAGTCCTCCCAGAGCTCCCCGTTCAGAGACTGCAGGTCATCCTCTCCTGCACAGCCAGCATTTTCTTTTTCGAACCAATCGGGATGCTCGGCCTGCCATTCCTTGAACTTCTGCACTGCTTCTTTCAGTTTCCTGCCGCTCTGGCTTTCGGCGTACTTTTCGGCAGAGATCTCTGGAATCTGATGGACACGCCCTGGCTCGAACTTCTCCATATCCTGAATCAGGAAGTAAACTTCTTCAAACTTGTCCATCAGCTGGTACTTGGAGGTGACGTTGAATGGGTCTGGAATATCCCTTTCATTGCTTATGCCCTCAAAATAGCAGACCAGGTATGTGCCAAAGCAAGCCGGCTGCTTGAAGTCGGGCAGGATCAGATTCAGAGCAGGAGTGAACATGTCCCCCATTGGCAGCAGGTTATCTTGTCTGAGAGAGACGGACCCTTCCTTATGCCCAAGCATGGCCTGCCACTTGGCTCGCGTACCCCGAGAACACAGGATGATGATCTTGGAGGAGCGCGCTTCCATTTCTTGCTTCTGCCGGGTGAGCCAGCGCATGGCTCCCACCTTGGAAATCTCATGCTCCTCCAGCAGGTCTAAGACCACTTCAGTTCCACACTCCGTGATCATGAACTGAGCCAGCTTTATCACGATATCGACATAGAGCTTGTGATCAGCAGAATACACAATCCAAACCTTGCTGGGCTTCAGGAGCGGGGCAGGCTGTGACACATGCAGTAGACCTGGAAAATATTGAGATATTACAAAACCCCATTAGGGTCACTCCACTCCATATATGGATAGCAAGAGAAGGAAGGGACAAATGCATGATGTAAGGCAGGGGTGTCAAACTCATTTGTTATGAGGGCCGGAGCTGACATAAGTGAGACCTTGTTGGGCCAGGCCATGTGTGTCATAAAATGTAATGCCAGGTAGCAGAGATATAAACTTTATAAAGGACACAAACACAATTAAAGATTTTTTAAACTTTAAATAAAACATGCTTAAAATACTAGCACTCTTGCAATATTTTGTCTATTTAACAGTCTCTGATAACTGACACCTCTTGCTCTGAGTAACTGCAGCAGCAGAACTGGAAAAGGAAGCAGGAAACAGCCAGGGCTTTGCGGGCCGGATTGCAGTCCTCCAAGGGCCTGATCCGGCCCCTAGGCCGCATGTTTGACACCCCTGATGTAAGGTATGGCTAACAAGCTGACACAGTTTTAACCAACTGCATTTAGTAGTAAGAGGATGACCCTCCACATCTCAGCTCATTCACACACCTGTTTAAGTTCAGCATGCTAGAGAGGTGCTCCTCTGCCACATAGCATGCCTCCTCTGATAATAGGCACTTCCAATAGACCAGTGTTTTTCAAGGAGCCCTGCAGCTCCTGGAGAAAAGCACGTGTGGAGCGAAGCCACAGTCCAAGCCATAGTCTCCAGCCCTGGGTTTCCTTTTCAAATTCATCTGCACAGACCTCGCAAAAATATTCCGAATACCTCAGATCTACAAGACAAACTACCTTTCCAAGCTTATTATGTTTGTGCTTGGCACAAAATTAAGTACTGCGTGTCATCTAACAGGAGTATATCCAACATAGAATAAAGCAGCATTTTAATCCCTACAGTGCTAGAGATATTCCTAAACCTTTAGGACTGCAATCTCCACTGCAATCCAGGAAATTTTGCTACCTCTTTGTACTAACAATTAAGGGCCCAGAAGTGCAACCCAATGCAGTTAATCCCAGGCTAAGCCTACTGCTCTCTATAGACCAAAACTGGAGTAAATTCTACACTATTGATCATGTAATGGTATACTCCTAAACAGAGTTACTTTGAAGTCAGTGGGTATAACATTACTTAGGACTGCACGGAAAGTTTAACTGATAACTGATTAGTAAAAAAAAGTTTCCTTAAAGAACAAAACAGTCAGCCATCTTGACTGTATCAGTGGAAGCCCAGCATTTTCCACAATTTTGTTTCATGAAGTAAAGGTCACAGGTGCTCATAATAATCCACAGTTTTGCTGCAAAGTAATAAAGGATACAAAGGCTCACAGGTCTTGATAGCTCTCTGGTTTTAAAAACTTTAAACATTGCCTCCATTCTGATAATTTAACCCAGGCACCTAGATTGTAAAACTAAATTAGAGGCAAGATTCCCTTACCATGGTGCGCACCATCATTATTGCTTGTTCCAGAAAGTGGTCCTGAGCAGGGGAAAAAGAAAAACCGAACATAAGGAGAATGTATAATCTCGATCCAGGATTGACAATTTTGTTGTTGAGCTGTTAGCAGTTCTAAGACCCAGCAGCAGCCAGCTACCCTTCAGCTGACTTGTCTGAGAGATGAGCTTGGGGGAGTGGAACGAAGAAATGATGAGCGATTTATCACTCAGCTTGTTCTCAGTGCCAAAGTCTTTTGTCCTTGCTCTCCTCCAAGCTTCCCTGACCTTGAAAACATGCACAGGGCTTTTGTAACGCATGTTTCTGAATGCAGTGTAAGCTACCACTCAAGTCCCTTGAAATTAAGTTTAGGGAATAAAGGGACAATTAATATGGAGTTAGTTAGGCACAGAGGTGGCTAACTTTTTTAAAAATATGAACTAGAGGCCTGAAGCATATAGTAAAGACACAGGAAGGGGGAAACAAACTTGACCCAATATCTGGAATCAAGAACCACACGGGTAAGAAAGAATCCTGATAAAGGGACAAGGTCACTTGTATTGGCCCTTGTGTTCGGGTCACTTGGACTTTGTAACAAGGCTTTCATTGGGCCCTTACATATTTTTAACTGTTTTTCTAATGAATATATGTATTTTTGTATATAATGATTATACACTAGGTTTTTAATACTGGCCCTTTATCAGGCATATAGTAAAGAATCAGACCTAACATATCATTCTGCAAAAAGACTGGACTATTTTCATTGCAAATGCATCAGAATGCTGACCTACCTTACAGGTTTATTGTAAAGATTACCAAGACAGACTGAACTTTGTTGAAAAATGAATCATAGATAATGGGGAATTCCAATTGCTCACTTTATACAAAAGTACCGCAGAAGGTTGAGTACCCAACAATAGGCTATTCTATGGGGATGCATGGAAACAACAAGTTGGTTGACCCTCCCCACCCAGTTTTCAGCACACGCCATACCTTTCTTTCTCCAAGCATGGCAAAAAACCCAAGCAACGATAGTCCCGACTAATAAGAAGCAGACGAGAGTGCTGCACCAGGACACCCATACCGAAGAATCTGTAACACAGGAAGACTTTTTCATGGCTGCATTTATCAAACAATGACATTCTGACAAAAATGGCTTGGAATGAGTGGGGAGGGGGCGCCTTCACTCGAAGCTCAAGCTGAGACCCATTAAACAAAATACATCATTATTATTTCTCTTGCATATTTTTATCCTGCTTTTCACCTTCTGAAGCAACTCAGTGTGAATGAAGCTACATGTGCCTAGCACGTTTAAAAAAGGAGAAAGTTTAGATATATATCCAGGGGTACTAGTTTCTGTATCAACATGAAGTCTTCAGTTTTTAATGTAAACAGTGCTTTCTCCCACAATCTCTCCTCTCTCAGGCTCTGTTGAACTAGACTGCCTTAGCTCTGTGATCTTTTCCCTCATATGGTTTATTCCTCCACTCTGGCTATTCCTTGAAATTGTTCCCTGTTTAACACACAGCAAGCTGCTTCGCTTCAAGACCCTGGCCAGGTTCAGACATACATGAAACCCTAGTTTAGAAACCCTAGTTAAATTACTAACTATAGTAAGTTGTCTGAACTCTGCTGTCTAGCTACCTGTAGTTAGTTTAGCTTTCTTACACCACAACCCAAAGTTTGGGGTTTTTTCGCCGTCAAGTCGCAGATGACTCATGGTGACCCTGTGGGGTTTTTCAAGGCAAGAGACACACAGAGTTAGTTTGCTACTGCCTGTCTCTGTGCTTGGATCCAGGACTTCCTTGGTGGTCTCCCATCCAAATGCTAACAAGGGCTGACCCTGCTTATCCTCTGAGATCTGATGAGACTGGGCTAGCCCGGGCTATCCAGGTCACGGCAAAGCTGGTTTAACCCACTACAAGTACCCTTGACTAGTTTTCCACAGTAAATACAGGCATGGAATCCTGCCCGAACCCTGGCTTGTCACGTCATGATCTCTGGCCTAGGAAGAGTGCCTTGTAAGGCCTACTTAAAATCAATAATCTTGAAATTCAACATGTTGGCCTAGGAGTTTTTAAATCCATACTCATTTGACAGGTGCAGAAACACTGGCAAGGCAGCACTGCACTGCAGCAGCCTGCCTTGGAGCTAAGGTGAGTGAGCAGTGACACTGATGTGGGAGAGCACATCTGCTCTTCTGCTTGGAAATGGAGATGAGCACTGCCCCCTAGAGTCAAATTCGACTAGCTTTCGAGCAAGGGAAACTTTTACCTTTACGGGGGATTCTTGGAAGTGTGGGCAAAACTGTATTGTCTGAAAAGCTTTTTTTAAAAAATAATTTTTTATTGCTTTTATAACTACACACTACACAGAAACAAGGGATGGGTGTACACTAACAAATCTATGGGAAATAGAACAGCATACCTAAAAGAGAGGTTAACAGGAGTTACATATGTTGCTAATAAAAAACGCTTATTCAAGTTTCTAATAATATATCATACATGAGTGAAGCTTCTTTTCTGTTTATAACAGTGAGTATAAGGTTAATATATAAGTATTTGCTCTGAGCAAGTAAACAAACTATTTATCTCTTCAAGATCTTATATCTCAATTATCTTGACTCTTCTCTTCTTCTGTTGTTGTTTCCTTTGGTGGTCCATGAATCTTCTTCATAAATCGTTTTGCTTTGTCAACAGAGTCAATCTTTTCTTTACAGTCCTTGTACTTGAATGTTATTCCTTCTGGAAAAAGCCATCTGTAATTTATTGATTTCTTTTGCAAAAATTCAGCTAAGTTTGCCTTTGCTTCTTTCTGATTTCAAATGGTATATCCTTTAGAACTCTTATCTCCGAGTCTTTAATCTTCAAGATGTTTCCATTAGTAGCTTTACGCACCGTGTCTCTTGTAGACCTTTTCGAGAATCTGACCATAATTTCCCCAGGCAGGTTTTTCTTCTTTATGAATTCGGGGTATGATCTATAGACCACATCCAAATTGCTTAGTAAATCTTCAGATTTCAGACCTGTCATTGGGGATAATGCTTGAGTCAAGATTTCTTTAATATTCTCACCGCTTTGTTCTGGAACATCTTGGAACCTTAGCACATAGGCTGATTTTTCTGCTTGAAGCCTAAGGATTTGTTCTTTATCAGCAGCTCTTTCTTTTTGTAGTTGCTCCACTTTTTGATCAAATGCCAATGTTTTAAAAACAACTTTTTTGACAGCATTAGAGTTCTTTACCATCTGCTTTTGGAGAGTTTCAAAATGTTGGTTGAGATTTGTCATTTGCTCCAGCAGGGGTCGCAATGCTACAGCCAACATGGCTGAGAAGTCTGTACTGGCATCTGGTTTCACTCCCGGAGATGACATTTTGCCAGCACCTGAAGGAAGCTTCCTCAGCACCATTTTTTCCTGTCGACTGATTGTTTACTTTCCCTGGGAAGTTTGTAAAAGTTCTATAAGGGAGCTATCGTTGTTCGCTTTACGTGGCGATGTACTTGCTCAATCAAATAACATTTTTCTAGACTCTTTCACCCTTTCCGGTAAGGCTTTAGTTTAAAGTTTCGTTTGGGGGGGGGGGATGTAGTTCCCTTCCCCTGTCGCTGGTGGAGGGGGGTACCAGAGCCCGTTTAAAAGTTCATGCGCTTGATGCAAATTCACTCACGTTTCTTCCAGTATCGTTGAATTGCCAAGATACCTTGCATTTTCGCTAGAACTCCTGAACGCTTGATCGGTGTGCACCTCTGATTGCCATAATGGCGCTGCAGTGGTAGGATCTTCGGGATAAAGTGTACCTCAATCCCTTGGAACAGGCCGCACCATGCGGAGCTCACCGGTGCGCGCCTGCCAAGTGAGGAGTCAAAACCGGAAAAAGTCTGAAAAGCTTTAACATTAAGCCGCTTGTGAGATTTCAGCTTCTCCCTGACTTCACGGTGTTAGCCAATGATAAATGACTTGTTGACACAGCGAAGACTTAGCCTTGTGTTGCAATGCAGGTAGGCTTCTGAACAGAAGGACGGAGAAAATGAAACCAGGATTTGTCAAAACAAACCAGGACTGATTGATTGCCTGTGAGTGGAATCCTGGTTTTACAAACTACAGTTAAAACAGACCACTTTTTGTGTTAGTTCAGATGGAACAAAAAACTATGGTCCAATTAAACAGATACTGGTTAATGTGAACACTTGAATGTGGGCCACTTGACTAACTATGGTTAGTAAGGTGACATCAAACAAGGAACTGAACCATGACTTTAAGCTGGTTTAATTAAACCACAGTTATTTCACCAACGTTTTTTGTGTGATACATGGCTCACTCCCTGGGATGCTGGCACTGGCTAAAGCAGACTGGGATCTCAATGTCTCCTTGCAAAAGTAATGACAGTTTCACAAATTAACCGTGGTTAAAGTAAGCCACCATTTTGTATTATGTGAAATTAACCCAAGTCTCTATGATAACAAAACAATTTCTGCTACTCTTGTGAACAGAGAGGAATTTCTGCCTCATTTCAATTATTTGGAGGCAGCTGCTTACATGACTCCTGGACTAAAGCTTCATCTTTTAGGGGCAGGTGCCCGGGCCAGTCCTTCAGATACTCTGTGTTTTCTTTGTGCCTGGTCTCTTTCCCACATTTATTGTTTTGCTACTTAACATTACTTTAACATTTATGAACATAAAAACTGTGCACATTAGCCAGGACACTCCAGTTCTTAGAGAGGTTCTGCCTCTGCTGTGCCTTTTAATAGAAGTAAAATAACCATCCTCTGGCTATATGAGCTTAAACAAAGGTCGTACCGGTTCTATTCATTCTGTCATCACTTTTTCTAGGCAGGGAATCAGGAGGAGGACATGGGATGGAAGTAGAATGCCTCAGACAATCCGTGTCACAAGAGGCAAAAAATGGCTGGATCTGAATGGAAAAGAAAAGGGACAACAACTTTAGCAGTTAATCAGATTTGTTCCCCAATTAACCTGATGCAAGTTCTAAAATCAAAAACCAGAGCAGACATTGCTGGCTTTGGTCTCCAGCATGACACCTTTTACTAGGAAGGTCACCAACAGTATGTTTCTGTTCAAGACCCCTCGAGTTAGAAGCCATTCCGTCTTGTTCTTTTCAAATTCAAGCAATGCCCAGAAATAACACTAAACGCAGAGCACCATTTCAGACTTTAGCATGGAAGAGGACAAAGCTTCCACTGGTCATAGCAAAAATCTTAAGACGCATTCAAGATGACATTGCCATCTGCACTTTTGTTGTGACATCATTTTATGCCTCATAACCAGAAACAGGACACGCTTCAGCAATAATCATACATGGTCTGAAGCAGAAAATGATAGGAGTTCCACTGGTGCTATTCACAAATGGTGCCCCTGAAACTAAACGATACATTCCAGTACTTTCATATTAAGCTTTCACTCTGCTGAATGACTTACAGGTCACTACAAGAGATTAAGACAAAGAAAAAGGAGGAAGACAAATTCCTTTGTATTATTGTAAATTTAGAAAAAAACACTGCAAGACAGACAAAGCAAAATAGAAAAATACAGATTTTTAATCAGATAACCATTGTGATCTTTGCCATGCTTAACTTGATATATTGCTGGCAGCCCATGATTCTTCTAACCCACTTGTGGTTCTCCAGCCTTTCTGCTTAGATACTGATATAGCATGATAGTTCGCATGGACTCTCCCACCCTTTAGCTGAAGAAATGCATCAGACACCCTACCTGCACTTTGTATGAGCAACAAGCCTTCAAGTTTCTCTCTATTTCAATGGTGACATTCAGCCGCTGTTGCAGCCCTTCCTGCAGAAACCAGGAGAGAAGGT